AAAGACCCAACCCCCAGTAACGACGTCCACAGCTGCTACACCAGCTCAACTCCCAACCGTCGCCACAACTACATCCCCTGAAAAGTCCTTTACAGATGCGACCACAAACGTTGTATCCACTCCCGTAGTCGCCCCTGTGTCAGTCGCAACAACCACAGCTGCCACGGTTCCTCCCGTGTCCACCACACAAACCTCTGCAGTCGTTTCCTCGCCGGTAGAAAGCTCTTCGTCCACAGATGTTTCCCCAGAGGTGTCCACACCGGCCCAGACAGAGGCCCTGCCCCAGATACCCACACCTGCTGCTGCTAGTGTTTCATCAGAGCAGCAATCTTTAGAGCCAACGCAGAAAGCCCCTAAATGTGACCCGGACAGGGTGACGGAAACGGAGGAGGAAGCTGAGGAGGCTGAGGCGAGGACTAGCAAGGAGGACGACGACAAACAGCCAGACCTCTGTAAGCCTCAGCCGAAAAGGAGAAAGGTGGAGAGTTCCTCGGAGACCAAAGACTTGGAGTCGGGAAGGGAGGGAACGGGCGGAGAAACACCGTCTGCAACTGATCATCAGAGAGAAGACCCTAAGCAACAAGAGGAGGAGTTCACGGAAGATCAGAAAACTCCATGCCAGAAAAGACCTCTTAGTCGCCAGAGTAGCCAGGAGTCCACGCGCTCCTCTTCGCCGTCGTCCGGGTGCTCGACATCAACCCTCACTCGTCACGCTCACCACAAGAGGACTTACGAAAACAGACTTCCTACCAAGAAGAGGCGAATGGACGTCACCTCAGAAACGGGGAAGGAGGAGAAAATGGAAGAGGATGGGGAGAATATAGAGGAAGGCAGCGACAAGGAGCACGCCGCCGCTCCCTCTCGGAGAGGGCGCTCCAGGTCGACTTCCTCCTCCTCTTCGGACTCTGACGGCGAGAGCAGGAAGGAGCACCGGTTGACTCGCTCCGCCAAGCACCGGCTACAAGATCAAGAGAGGGAAAAGGGCAACAGCCGGCAAGGGAAGAAACCTGCACACAGCTCGGAAACAAACGCATCAAACAACGCCAACGCGTCCACAGGTGGAGAGTCTGGCAGTGACACATCTTCTGTTAGGATCACCAGGAAGTCTGCAGGATCGCAGCCTCCGCAAGACGGCAAAGCTCAGACCAACAGCGCGCCCTCGTTGCCTCCTGAGCCCGAGGTTCTGGGGAAGAGGTACTCAGCACTCAACGCAGCAGCCAAACTCCTTGCGATGAAAGGAAGGGTGGACACGCCTGGACACACCACTCGGAAAGACTCGGGGGCTAAAGCCGCCAGGACTTCCCCCGCCTCCTCTTCTGACAAGAACCAAAAACCTAAAAGCAAAAGTGTACCAGCCTCCCCTCAGAGTAACTCTGTAACTCTCACTAATAATAAAAGCAGCAGCAGCAAACCCTCAACGCCCAATCAGACGAGCCGCTCGGCTTCCCGCTCCACCAGGCAGCGCCCTGGTTCTCTGGTTCCCCCCCTGGAGGTGGAGTACAAGAGGTCTAAAGCAGAGGAGAAGGAGAGGGGGAGTAGGAAGTCTTCAGGGGCGAAGGAAGGCGAGGCAGAGGCGCAGTCTTCGTCCCGGGGCCACAGTGCGTGCAGCAGCATGAGCAGCGACGGCGAGGGCGAAGGCGAGGGCGGCGGACGCAGCAGCAGAAGCCGCAGCAGCAGCAACAGCAGCCAGCGCACTCACAGCATCAGCTCCCAGAACACGGAGCACAGAGGGTCCCGCGCCACCTCCTCCGGCAGCGAGCGCAGCTCCGAGCGGAGTAGAGACAAAAAAGAGAGGCAGCGACGGGAGAGTCGGCACGACAGCAGGAGGTCTCAAAGGATCTCGCAGGAGGTGACCAGCAGTTCGGGAACGGAGGGGACGCCGGACAGGGTGCTGCGGAGCGTCGCGGCGCTCGCAGCGGTGCAGGCCCGGTCCCCGGCCGCGAGCACCCGCTCCTCTTCTGGTCAACATCGTCACAACAAGACATGATCGGCGTGCCAAAGGGAAAAAAAAAAAACGGAAGCGAGAGTGTTGTCACGATGTCATGACCTCCAAGGTTGCTGCTTTGTCTGCACTCTGATGAATGAAGGGAACTGCGTGCAGATCCAGGGACCTCCCCTGTCTCTTGGGCCCTCTCCCTTTCCAATTGGAGCTGGTCCCCTCAACCAGCTCAGCCATTGTCAGCTGGGGGAAGGCTCAGGGACGCCGGACTGAGAGTATAAAAAATGTGGCGCCATCATGGTGCGTCCGTAACAGACAGAAGATGGTACAGTGGTTAAAATTCACCACTGGGACTTGAAGGGGGGGGGACAAAAAGGTGCAAGAGGTAATAAAGGAAAGTTGTTAGTTCACATTATGTACTGTAATCATTAAAGACTGGAACACTCAGATCTTATGTGTTAAGATGGGATTATACAGCACCCTCTTATTAGGGTTATAAATGAAGTCATTTGTGTGACATTAAAAACTTTTTGAGTGACCAGTTGTATTGTAAGTTGGAGGTTTTAGAAAGTTTGGTTTTGAAAAATTTCGTCAGCTGTCCTGACTATTGTTTCTTTGTAGTCAGTTGATAAGTTATGCATATTTTATTATTTCTTCCAGGGTATTAGGAAGAGAACCGATCTGTCAATGTGATCTTTGCTGCACTATGCTGGAGCTTGTCTTTTGCTTGGGCCCCTTTATTTTTTTTTTTCATGTCGATTTTTTTTTTCTGTTCATTTGGATTCATTTTTAAAAAGAAAATCCAGCCTTGCATTTCTCATTTGCACATCTGATAACGTGGCCCTCGGCTTTGAGTACATTGTGGTGTAGTAATAAGTTTATACATCAACTTCAGTAGATTAACTGGTTCCCCGGTACCTCACGACGTCCACAGGTTTAAAAAAACAGATTAATTCAAGTTGCAAATTGTCTTTGAAGACGTTATTTGCTCCTCACAGACCCGGAGCTCCTTTTTTTTTGTTTTTTGTTTTGTCCCCTGATCTTCCCAACAGGCAGTTATTGTTACGGTCCACTTTGTCATGTATTTATATCGAAAAGGGCAAAAAGTTTAAATGTTTGTTGAAAATTTACGAGTGCCTCTCTGGCCAAAATGGGTTTGAACCTCTGATTGCCTTGTGAAGAGCCTGAACGCTGGGGTGTTTGAGCTTCTCTCGTTATTTAAAACATAAAAACAAACAAAAAAAAAGCCAAACAAAACAGGAAAAGAAATAAAAACACTCCCTCCCTCCCCAGGAACTGTTAAGAAAAGCCCCCCGTGCATCAGTGCAACCAAATTTAATGTTTTATTTTTCACCTGGATTTTTGTCACCATTACTTCATTGCTCTTCGTTCATGTAAGAAAAAATTAAAAATAAAAAAAAAATACTTGGACAAAATATGTGAATAAAGTTACTGGTACAGTTCCAGATGACAGTAAATTGTCAATTTACTTTTGGACTGAAGCTACTTTGAGCGAAGGTGATATTTCAGGGGGGGTGGGTGGGTAGTTTATGGTGATGGTCTTATTTTCTTTGATTTGTCTCTTCATTTGTTGCATTCCTTTTGATCCCTTGTAATTCCACATTGTTTTACTTGAAAAATTAAGACAATTACAGTTGAATAAAAAGACCAAAAATTAGTTGGTTTTTTTTTTTTTCCTTCCTCCATTTGTGTTGAAATAAAAGTTTTCATGTCAGTTTTTATTACGAATTTGTTTTAAAGATTCTAATGAACAACAACAAAAAAAAAAGCTCAGGACAAACACACAATAGAACGTGACAGTATTTTATTTTAAAAACAAATCTATATTAAAATGAGTGATGCAGAAAGAGACAGCTGTAATATCACACAGTAGCAGAGTCGCCGCTCCGCCCTCCGTCGGACTTTTCCAAAAGCAGACGAGGACCGGACAGCGTCTAAACAGTTTTGGTTCATTTTTCTTTACAGATTTGTCACATTGTGGCGGCGCAGCAGCTGCTGTTCAATTCCAGGATTTCCCTGCAGCTTTAAAACTCATTAAATTACTAAAACTAGCAAAACAGACAGACGTTGCACAATGTGACAAACTGGTGAAGAAAAATTAAAAAGTAATGAGCGTATATGTGTCAGACTAAAAGCTGGAACACTGCAGTGTGGATTCAAACATTTATATAAACAATAAAAACTCACTCCCTTCTTGACAATGTTAGTGCACAACGTCACGTTCTCGAGCTGTTTGTGTGGACAAAAAGGAGAAAGGCACCATTTTTTGAAAGAAAACATAATTTCATTACGTGTTGCAGAACTTTTTCTCGCAGCAGCTTAAACACTGTTCAAATCATAAATACAAAGTGGTAGGACAAATAAAAGTGGGCCTTTTTTACTGCAGTGCAGAGACACTTCTGTAAAATACAAAAGGAGGAAGAGGGCGGGGGGGCTTCACACCAAAAAAACAAAAAACAAACAATATTTACAATTGTTACATGTAGACAGGTTTAACTTCTCAAGTAAAAAAAAAAAAAACATCTGCATAATAGCCTTAATCACCAGCAACAGAGGTTATGTACAATTATATTAGTCTATTTACTATATATGCCTATAAAAAGGAAGCCCAATCGTTACTTTACACCTCCGATTCGTCCAGAAACAACACTAAAGAGTCGACACACAGTTTTCCTGAGTACAGTAATGATCAGCGCCAGTGTTGGGTTTCAATACTGCATTGTGCTTAGCTCAAGGCCACTCATTTCCTCTTTTTAATATATCGGGGGGGNGGGGGGGGGGGAGGCAGTGACGTAACAGTTCACAAAGGGTCCTGGTCTTTGTTGTAGACCACATTCTATCTGATAGAGGATTGGGTGGAGGGGGGGTTCCCATAAACCAGCAGCACTACCTCTTGAGTGGAAGTGGAAATGGAGGCAAGATTGTAGTCATTTGTGAGTTAAGACAACAGAGAGCACATCTCTTCTTTTACAACAACAACAACAACAAATAGAGCCAGTTAGAAGAGACGTGTGTGTGTTAGAGGAAGACAGAATAATGCAGAGGGATGATGACTGACTTCATTCACCCGTACGTCCTGTGGGCTGAACATACATGAAAAACAATGGGGGGGTTCAGAATGTGGCTTCTGGCAAACTAATTACAGCCAACTCACACTGCCAACTGTTAGGGGCCGAAGGTGGAGACCAATGAGATGACTAGGATGAGAATTAAGATGGCCAAACAGATCGCGATCCAGATCTTTTTCTGCATTGGAAGAGACAAAAATAAATAGATCAATTAAAAAACACACACAAAGTAATCATGCAAACCTTAAAGAAGCACTACTCTGTATCCTAATACAGGATCGGCTGATACTCTGACTCTGATATGTCCTGATAAGAAGAGGTTTTTTATGGTTTGTAATGTGGGGAAGAAATGGCCTGTGGTAAATATTTAACTTAAATGTTCTTTNNGCTGTGATTTATAATACTGTGACAAGCAGAACAGAGGAAGAAGGAGAAGATAAGAAGAAGCAGCAGCAGCACTCAGCAATTGGTATCAATGTTATTATTTATTTATTATGCACATGCTAAAGAATATTTAACTTAAATGTTCTTTCAGAGTTATTAGTTAAAGAAAGCAGCCTTCAGAGTACCTTTACATAATCACACTGGTGCAAAATCCACATAGGAAAAAGATCTGCTTTCTATCTAATCTCACATCAGTCAGGCTCTAAACATTCGAGCAGGACGTCGTACCTTGCGAGCTTTCTGCTGATACGTGACGGCTTTCTCCGTGTTCTCCTTCGCTTTCTCCACGTAGTTTGTAGACAGTTTGATGTTGTTTTCAATCTGGTTAACCATCTCCCCCTGCAGGAGGCACAAACACAGTCAGACAGAACCGGAGCAGCAGCAGCGATTAGTTGTTAGCGGTTAAATTAATCCGAGAGTGTTCAGATTTGCGTTACCTGAGCCTCCACCTCCATGGCGAGGTACTGGAACATGTCATGCAGGTCTTTGATGCTCTTCTCCAACTTCAGGATCTCGTCGTGCCGGGACTCGATCTCGTTCAGAGCCTGCTTCGTGGCTTTAGCGTCGATCAGGATCTGTGTAGCGCAGGGCGGATGTGTGTGTGTTAGGTTCAATATGGACAACAAATCCAACACGAGGGTTCAGGGTTTCATCTAAGACCAGAGGTGGAGGAACTACCAAGTAAACAAACTACAGGGAGTCTTAATTTAACACTGACGACTGTTTTTACTCTTTATTCTTAATGTCTGCAATGCAAATGAAAGAAGGGAGGTGGAAACACTGCCGCTTTTGTCCACAGGGTGCGCCAGAATCAACAAAACATGTAAGTTTGGTTAAAAAATACTCAATTACAAGTCTTAAGTATGAGTTAAATGTACAGTAAATGACTGGTAAATGCTCCTATCTTGTATTTTTTAGACATTTCTCTCACTTTTGCTGTTTTTAGTGCAATATTGGATACTTTTACCTCTTTGAGCCTCATTTAAAAGACCAAACTACAGCTGTTAAATCCTAAAAGACCCTTTCTGGAGCCGGTGTTTGGTTTGTCCGTTCTGGGCTACTGTACTCTTGCTACACACTGGACTTTGAAATTACCTTTGGCCAAACTTTTTTTAGTGGGAAACATCTCTTTGGGGTAAATTAAACATTAATTTAACCTTTAACGAAACACTCAATGGAGCCAAGCAGGAGTACAAAGTAGGTTAAAGCACATTAAAAGCCAGCAGGAGTCTTCACACTATGAACTACTCACACACTAACACCTCTAGGGGCTGCGGGTGACTTTCTTTGCCGATGCTTACCAAATCTGTAGTCCAGTTTGAGCAATTAGAGAAGCTACAACAGAACATAGCTGTCATCATTTCATACGTATGCAGCTTAAAGTCAGAGCTGCTGCTGCTGCCATACGGAGGTCGAGAGGAAACACCTGCAGCTGTCAACGTGCTTCGCCGCAGCAGGTGTTGTGGTTTCCCACAGTCACGTTGCTGCCGCGCCTCCTTTCATCTCCGCCGCCGCGTGTACTCACGTTTTGGGTGAAAACATCCGTCTGCCCGCTCTCGAGCATCGTATCCAGCTCTTCGTCGGTCACATTGGTCCCAGCTGAAGAGAGAGAGACGGTTACGTTTAGAGAAAGTGTTTCTGGAGAGACACTGAAGCTTCAGTATGTGGTTCTCTCTATATATAGTTGATTTAAATATTCATTTCTGATTAATCTGGAAATTATCCTCCATTAATCACTTGCCTTTATTTTAATTTACTATTCACTTTGTTCTTTATTTCTTTATTTATCTGAATGTTTGTATATTATTATGTTAATAAAAACATTTATGAAATGTCCAAAACTCAAAACGACTCAATTTACCGCAACAAAGAAAAGCAAATTCTCACATTTGACAACCTGCACAATCAAATGTTTTGGTACTTTTGTTTGAAAAATGATTTAAACATTTAATAACTGATCAGAAAAGTCACAGATTCATTTTCTTTCAACTGTGTGAATCTGCATTTGTCTCCTTCATTCGATTGATTTATAATCCAGAAATTAGACAGAAAACAAGAGCGTGACACAGAAAACTATCTCAATTCAACTTAAGCTGGAAGCTGAAATCGTGGCAGATAAAATGTGATTAATCCTACTCATAAAGGCTGAACAGTGCGGGTTTAACCGTAGTGTGTAGAGTAGAAACCGAGACCAAGGAGGACACGTGACAAGTGTCATGAGACAAACCGTCCGGCACACCGAGCGGCCGCAGCGAAAGTGGAAGTGATCAAACCACGGACCGCAAACCACCGCTTCCTGTTACTCACTGATTTTGAGTTGCCGCTGTATTCTCTCCACGTTGCGGTCTCTGTACTGGGCCTGGATGGTGTTACAGTAACCCATCAGCTCCACAAACTCCTTGGACAAGACGCCGTGCTGGAAAGGGGGAAACATTTAAATTAAAACAGTAAAAATAACAAAGCTGTTCCATTAAAACCGGAGAGTCAGACTGATGTAACTCGTGTTTAATTCAGGTGTTTGTGTCTTTTCTGGGATGTTGCAAGTGGAGCTGCTGTCAGGCAATAAACCATAATCATCACTATACGGCTGTAAATCTAAAACACAAACACAAGTCTTTGTATTTCTTGTCAAACTATATCACTTTACACTCAGACCTCCAATAAAATCTACATTTATGACGTTTGTTTTAGAGTTATTGGTTCAATCGTATGCGTTTATGGGACACTTCCTAACCGAGGTTTACGGAGGTAATCTGAGTAAGAATACAGTTTTTCCCGGGATATTTGGTTATTTTAATACATTTCCAGGTTTTTCCTCGACTGGAAAACAAGCCTGAGTTTGTTGTGCAGTTGTAATGGATTACACTCACAGGTGTTTCTGTTATTTAGCCTTTTCTCACTGATAGAAATGAGTTTAGACTCAACAGAGCCTCAAACATGATAATACATAATACATAATAATACAGTTGAATCAACACCTCTTTAAAACATTAAGACATTAATAAATGTAGAATTATCTCACAACTGTATTCCTTTTTCAGTTTAGTGTAGCTAATAAATTAAAAACTGGGTGTATATTGTGATTTAATACATGACTCTTGACAAACTGTTTATAGATAAAATAAAATGGGAGTTTTTGGCTCAGCCAGTAAATTAAAGTACATTCCTGTAAATCAGAGAAAGTCGAAAGTAAAAAGGAACGTTTATATGACGACGTATTGTGAAATTATTATTACCAGTTATTTCAAAACTCAGTGCAAGTTTCTGTTTCACTTTACAAGAAGCATCGTTTCCCTGTTTGACCTTTTATTGGGATTATTAATGGAATAAAAACAGCTTCACGCAGCAACTTAACAAGACTTAAAACTGATTTTGTGGCATAAAAGCAAAAATGACCAACCTGGGTCCGCTGCATCCGAATGCTGATGGTTACGTATTTTCCATCCTCCTCTCCCTTCTTTGATTCAATACCTGTGGAGAGATAGTTGATCAGTGTAAACAAAAACAAAAACAAATAAAGAAACAGCAGTGTTCACTTGTTAAACATCACTGCTCACCCTTCAGTTTTTTTTGGATGTGACCCGCCAACGTTTTGATCTCCTCTCGAAGAGTCTGGAGCTCTTTCTTCATACCTAAAGCCGAAGAGGAGAACCACATATTCAGCACACAGACACATAAAACACCGTTTATTATTGCTCATTCAACAATAAAAAGACTTTAATCTGACAAATATTTTCATCATTTGTTGACTTTGTTCAGNNTGTAAATCTGAACACACTCACTCTCCTCTGGCAGCGCCACGCCCAGAACAGTTTTCTGTTTGTTCTCAAGTTCAGACACTTTACTTCGGAGGTTTTGCAGACCCTCGTGGATTTCTTGCACCTAAAAATGGGAGAGAGGTTTCAGGTTTATGGACAGAAACACAGTTAACAGTTGAATTTATATTCAATACTTAGTTTATCAACAGGAAATGTTAATACATTAATAAGTAAACTCTAAATGCTCAAACATACTCTGGTTCCCGGTTGTGAAATGGGAGGAATTTCTATCTTTGTTAATGGATTATCTGAGCAATCCGAGGTCGACACCTTTGGCTCGGGGAACTCGCAATTTGGCATTTTTTAACTATTATTTACATTTAGCAGACTAAAGAATGAATTTATTTAACTTAAAAATGATCAATGATTCAAATAATTTGTTAGTTTTAAGGCATATGTCATTGCAGTTTTAAAGCTACTAACAACTAACTTATTTACTCTCAATTAAGTGACGAACCATTCCTAAAACACAACCTGAGGTCTCCTGATTGCTCGTTTTACCCGACAAATAATCCAAAACCAACAGATATTAAATGTACTATCATAGAGAACTGAGACAACCAGCAGATATTCACATTACAACCACTTCACTTTGGCTTTTTTGCTTTATAGTACGGCAGTAACACGGAGTCCTTATTGACCACAGCCCAGTTCAAGGACATCAGGATTAGCAGACACTGCGGTGCTGACAAAACAACACTTCTTCTTCTTAAAGCCACAGACATTTAAATCCCTCTTTGTCCTTATTCCTGTGTGGGTTAACACAGATTATTATCTACGATCTAAACTTTTAAACTCGCTGCTCAACAGCTTCGTCCTGTATTAGAAGCGTATGTAGTTAAAACAGAAAGAGCGAATAAAACACTGAATTTGCAGCCAAAATGTCAGAAAATACACAAAATTCATCCAAATCACTAATTTTACTCTGAATATAAAACAACAGACCAGTTTGTTAAAGGTCATCTGCCATCTGTGCACTGATTCACAGAATTAAAACATTAATATAAATATATAAAACATTAATATAAATATATAAATATAAATATATAAATATAAATATATAAATATAAATATATAAAATATAAATATAAATATATAAATATAAATATATAAATATAAATATGGTCAGCCTTTTTTTAAAGAAAGCTTCATTCTCCTTCTCCTCTTTGCGCTGAAGGGTGGGTTCCAGGTTTTGAATCATCAAACTTTTCCCTCCTCATCGTCATTCTGAATGCCTCGGCTTTCTGCAAGTCGACACCCAATCAATAATCACATAACAATCATCGATAATGATAATTGATAAGTGATGTAGTCTGCTGGTGCTCTCTGTGTGGTGTGTGTGTGTGTGTCTGTGTGTGAGTGTCTGTGGTGGTGATGTCTCTGTGTGCAGGGGTGGTGTGGTGTGTGTCTCTGGGTGTTGTGTGTGTGTGTTGTGTGTGTCGTGTTGTTGTGTGTGTCTCTCGTTGCTGTGTGTGTGTGTGTGTGCTCTCTGTGTGGTGTTCTCTGTGTCTCTGTGCCACCGCGTTTTGGGTGTGTGTGTGGGTGTGTCTCTGTGGTTGTTGTGTGGTGTTGTGTCTCTTGTTGTGTGGTGTGTGTGTGGTCTTCTGTGTGTGTCTCTGTGTTGTGCTGTGTGTGTGTGTGTGTGTCTGTGTGTCTCTGTGGTCTCTCTGGTGTCTCTGTGTCTCTGCTGTGTCTCTGTCGGGTGTGTCGTGGGTGGGTGTGTCTGTGTGTTGTGTGTCTCTGTGTGTGTGTGTGTGTGTGTGTGTCTCTGTGTGTGTTCTGTGTGTGTCGGTGTGTGTGTGTGTGTCTCTGTGTCTGTGTGGGTGTGGTGTGGTGGCCTGTCACATTCCTTTACACTCAGACGGAAGTAAAGTAAAGTAACTCTCTCTCTCAACGCTGTTACAGATTGGTTGCTTCACTCTCAGTTAAAGGTCAAAACGCTGTCACAAACGACAAACAAACAACAACAAACAAACAAAACAACAAACAACAAACAAACAAACAACAACAAAGCAGGATTTGAAAACTCGGGCTACACGTTAGGCATTGGTTAGCCTCGGCGATGCTAACGTGTATTCTTTACTCACGCTTCCCTAACTCTTTGGTTCGTCCCGCATCGGGTGTGAGCGTCCGCCAAGCGTTTGGGCTCAGACACACGGCACAGACTCTGAGCAGGAGATTTTACGTG